CTAAGGGGGATTTCACCCTCTCCCCACAGGTGAAATACCTGACCCGGGACTGGCGCCTCACCCTCTACGCCCTCAAATTCTCGGCGCTGCTGGAGGTGAACAAAGAAGGCACCAAAGTCAGGCGKCGCCTCCCCGTGCCCGAGTACCTGCTGAGCGTCCCCCCGAGCAAACTGCTGCTGGCCTGGGAGCTGCAGCCCCGCCAGCACGACCTGCCGCCGCACAGGAGCTTCCTGGAGACCATCACCAGGATGTTCAGCCCCTTCGGAGCCGTGGCTTCCATCCGCATCCTGCGGCCGGGCCGGAGRTTGCCCTCGGACGTGCGCAAATACTCGGCGCGATTCCCCGAGCTGCTGAACCGCTGCTGTGCCCTGGTGGAGTACGAGAACCTGGAGAGYTCCCGCAGAGCCTTCGAGAGCCTCGGCCACCACGACTGGAACGGCATCAGGGTGGTCCAGCTGGGYGGCAAGTGGGGGAAGAAGAAAGGCGAGTGGGATGCGGAGGCGGAGCGGGTTTGGAATGTGCCGGCGGCGGGGCTCAGCTTCCCCCGCAGCCTCGAGGGYTCGCTGCCCAGCAGCTCCCCAGACTCGGATGACGCCTCAGGGTCACCGTCCCTCCTCCTGAGCAGCGATCTGGTGGCACCCACCTGGCCCGGCAGCGATTTCAAGGCTGGAAATGGCAGCGCTTTCATCGGATCGCGCCTCGGCAGCAAAAGCTTCCCCGAGCTCGGGGTGGGCTTGGGCGGCTTCTCCGGCACCGAGAGGCGCCAGGAGGGGATCTGGACACCCTGGGGGCTCTCTCCTGCTTCCAAAGCTCCCTCCGCGTGTCCCCTGGCAGAGCAGTGGGTGTCCGAGCCCCTCAGCCTGTGGGATGGGATCCTGACCCTGCCCCGCAGCCCCGAGAGCACCAAAAGCTTCGGGAGAGGAGAGCTCGTCCTCCGGCGCTGAGATCCTTCCGATTTGGCTTTAGCGTTTATTATTTTCTTTTTTTTTTCTTTATTTTTTTTCCTTTCTTCTCTCGAGCAGAAGAACCTTCTATGGCCCTGAGAGCTGTGGGCAGTGGCAGTGCAGCTGATCCAGGGGACAGAAGTTTTGGGGCGAGGACGATGCTCGAGGCAGAGGCTGAGCAGCAGCAGGAGCCGCGCCGTGCTGTGCTCGTGCCGCGTGGGATGTGCTTGCCCAGGGCCCAGAGCTGGGGTTGGTGTCCAGGTTTTGGGTGAGAAATGGGCAAAAAAGAGAGATGAAGTTTCCAGGCACTTTCTGGCTGATGCTGTGCTTTTTTTCTGGTTTTTTGGGGGTTTTTTTTTGGTTGTAGTTTTTTTTTTTTTTTTGGGGGGGGGGGGGGGGGGGGGGGTGTTTTTTTTTTTTTTTTTTTTTTTTTTTTTTTTTTTTTTTTTTTTTTTTTTTTTTTTTTTTTTTTTTTTTTTTTTTTTTTTCAGGTGGGTCTTTTTGTCTGTTGGAGTGGGTTTCTTTGGGGTTTTGTTTTGTTTTTTCCATTTCTTTTCCCCCCATATTTCGAGGTCTTTCYCCTCCTTGAGATGCATTCACCCAAGAGAAGGAGGGAACCTCAGGGTGAGTGGGATGGAAAACAAAGCTGGTGCTCATCACTGACCCAGACCCCAGCACTGAGGAGTTGTTCTACAGGCAGCGAGGAGAATTGTCTGGGGCAGGAATTTCATGTCCTTATGGCAGATTTCAGATTCTGAAACCCCAACTGGGAATGGCCTCAGGAATGGGGAATTCCTGATGTCTGGGGAAGAGAATTTCTTGTCATGAATACTCAGGGAGCCACCAGGAAAGARTCTGTCCTAAACCTGGAGGTTGGGGAAGGGAGAAGGACTGGTGGGAACTGGGATTAGTCCCAGTRCTCCTGCAATTTTGAGATTAATGGGATTAATTAATGAGATTTTGAGATTAATGCTGTCAGTGTGAGGAGGAAAAAGGGCACCTGAGCTGCACCCCAAGACCTGGAGAGAGGAAATGTTYTGCTCCTCAGGGAGGGGCTCAGCAGAGATCCCTGGGAAGCTTCAAGGGGATTCTTTATGAACATCTGGAACAGGACATTCCCCGGTCTCAATTTCCAGCTCCCTCTCCCCACTCTGGTGGGGTAAAACCCCCATTCCCCCAGCGCACCATTCCAGATCCTGGTGTTTTCCAAAAAAAATATCCTTTTTATTGGCCTCTCCCTGGTGCTCCCATGCCGTCCCTCAGTGCCTGCAGCCRGACGGGATCTTCGGGGCCTTGGAGCCCCCACAGGCTTCGGGCTTCTCCCCCTGCCACAGAGCAGCCAGTAGGGCCCCAGCAGGGACGGGGATGTGTCCCCAAACCCCGCTGTCCCCACAGATCCCTGTCCCACCTGGTAGAGGTGACAAACCAGCGCCAGCAGCGAGGCCTCCGCCTGTGCCTGCAGCTCGTCTGTGTGTTTCTGCGGGGCACAGGGGGTCAGTCAGGGTGTCCCCGGGGTGCCCAGCCCCCCCTGACCCCGTGCCATACCCCGTTGATGGTGATCCAGGGCACGTACTGGTGCGGGGGCTGCAGAGCCTCAGTCAGTTGGGCGTTGCGGTGCATCAGGGCCACCCCGGCGTCCCCCTGCACGCAGGCGGCGATGCGGCCGCTGTCCAGCTCCGGGGCGTAGATCTGCAGGCACTGCGGGCACAGGGGGCGGTCAGGGGGATGGGGACAGCCCCCAGGGCGGGGGAGGAGGGGGACRTACAGCCTGCAGGTTCTTGGTGACGGAGCTGCCCGACTCCAGGCAGAAGATGACGGCGAAGTAGGTGCTGAAGTTCTTGGCCTCGTCCATCAGACAGGCCTACGGGGACAGGGCGGGCGGTGAGGAGCCGATGATCCCCCCCATGCCAGCRCCGCGGGGACAGGGACCGTCACCTCCATCATGTTGCCCAAGCACTCCTCGGGRCCGTGCTGGCACTGGAAGTCCAACTTGCCGCTGACGTTCCTCTCCTGYGGGACCGACCGGTCTGAGCGGGGCCGGGGCGAGCGCCCGCGGCACCGGCGGGGCCGGCTCCTACCTGGGCGTTGCCGTAGGGCACCAGGGTGATGTTGAGCATATCGGAGGGCAGTAGCAGCCAGGTGGGGAAGAGTTTCAACACCAGGAACTCGCGGCAGGCCGGGCACAGGCTCTCGTAGTAGAGGGTCAGCTCCACGGGCGCGGCGGCGGGGCGCGGGAGGCTGCGGCAGCGGCTCTGCACCTGCACACGGGAGGGGTTCGGGGGGCACGGGGATGCAGATCCCTGTCCCAGTGTCTGCAGGGATTGGGGAAAGCTCCTGGGATGTGCGGGGAAGAAGGGGGATGAGGCTGGAGGGAAGTGAAAGCGGCTCGGGGGTTTCCGGCTRCCGCGGGATCCTGCGCGTGGCTGACAGAGCGCGGGGCGTTCCACCAGAACTTCCCCAAAATATTTCAGAGGAAAACAAATTTAGACMGGGACATGCCGGGGTGGGGGGATGGCTCGGCACCCTCTGCCAGGGAAAACTGCTGTTTGGGGCAGGATAACAAAAAGAAAAAGCCGGTTTACAAGGAAAAAGCAGAAGTGCCCGCGGCAGCTCGGGAGGGGCTGGGTTCGGGGTCCGGCAGGAACACAGCCATTGCCCGGGGATGCTGGGGAATCCCGCAGTGCCCGGGTGGCACCGGAGCATCCCTGCCGATGTGACAGCCCGTGCCCCAGCGCTGCTCCAGGTACCGTGGCCAGGCAATGCCCCAACCCCGTTCCCGGTTCCCGCTGCCGGGCAGGCGGGCCGTGTCCCCGCGTGCCAGATGACCCTGTCCCTGCCCCTGTCCCCGTCCCCAACCCCGGCAGCAGCAGCGGCTCTGACCTGGCAAGCGGCGGCGGTGTCCGGCGAGCTGCACCAGCGGTGGGCAGGGTAATCACAGCCGGGGGCCGCGCCGAGCCCCGGGGCCACCAAGGCCACCAGGGCCACCAGCGCCGGGACAGCCAGCGGCACCGCGGGGGCCATCAGGACGCTGGGGGGACGCGGAAATGAGCCCGTCCCAGCCAGGACTTTTAAAGCTGGGCCGTGCCCGCCTCCAGGCGCCCTCCCTGCCCTTCCTGCCGCCCCAGCCACCGCCTCCTGTGACGCTGCTGAGCCACGTGGGGCCGCCCGGCTCCGGCCACCGCGTCCCCGCTGTCCCCGCTGTCCCCGGGAGCGGCCCCGAGCCGCCGCTTCCCCGCAGGCTGGGACAGGTCCGGGAGAGGAATCCAGCGTGGGGCAGCCACCGTGGAGCTCCCCGAGCTGGGACACGGGGATGGCCTCAGCAGAGCCCACGGGAGAGGAATCCAGCGTGCGGCAGCCACGCGTGGAGTTCCCCGAACGGGGACACGGAGCTCAGAAGAGCCCACGGGAGCGATCCCAGCGTGGAGCAGCCACGCGTGGAGTCCTCCAAGCAGGAACACGGGGATGGTTCCCAGGAGAGCCCAAGGGAGAGGAATCCAGCGTGGGGCAGCCACGCGTGGAGCTCCCCGAGCAGGAACACGGGGACGGTTCCCAGCAGAGCCCACGGGAGTGATCCCAGCGTGGAGCAGCCACGCGTGGAGTCCTCCAAGCAGGGGCACGGGGATGGCCTCAGCAGAGCCCACGGGAGCGATCCCAGCGTGGAACAGCCACCGTGGAGTCCCCCGAGCGGGGTCACGGGCCCAGCAGAGCCCCGGGTGGGGCGGGTGCCGGGTGCAGGAAGGGGGTGCAGCCCAGCGCAATCCACGGTTCTGGAGCCCGRTGAGGAGGAGCCTCGCAGTTCCCCCTCTGTTTTTGGTCTCTCAGCCCTGGCCCCACGTGCCCCAGCCCTACAAACGTGGGGAGCACAATCCTGGAGCGTGGGTCACATCCTGCACCCAGCCCAGGAACTGGGGCACAGCCCCGGTAACACCCCCGCACAGCAATCCAGCAGCCTGGTTCATTAACTCTTGTTTATTTCTTTCCTTTTTTTTTTTTTTTTTTTTGGTTGTTTTTGTGGGTTTTTTCGAAGTACCGTACAAAAAAAAAATCCTCTTACAGTAACAAATACTGGGTTTACATTAGTAAACATCAACAGAAAGAGCAGAGAGCACTACTGCTGGTAACGGACAGCTCGAGGGGGCGGATTATTTATTGCATATACCTAGAAACTAAAACCTCACGCAGCCGCCACGTCCTCTCCGAGCTCAAAGCCTCCGCTGGCACCAGAGCCCTTGGCGGGGTSACACGGGGGAGCCTGGAGCCCCCCGAGCGGGGACACGGAGGGACAAACCCCAAACTGAGCCCTGGGGAGCAGAAGAGCCAAGGCTGGGGGACGTGGGGGTCACAAGCAGCAAAGCACGGCCCGGCGCCTCGAAACACGGCCGGGATCAGAACGAGCCAAAGCAGCAAAGGACAAATCACAACGAGCTGATGCTGGGGGAGCTCCGGGCTGGGATTCCACCCCGGGGAGAGCAGGGGAAGGCCGCTGCTGCTCGGGGAGCCGAGTGAACAAGCACCGTCAGGGAAAGGCAGCCCCGGGGAAGGGCATCTTCCTCCCCATCGTACACAGAATGTGCGGGCAGAGCCCTGCCAGGGACAGGGAAGGCAGTGCTGGAAGTGCACAGGGGTGACAGTGACACCCCCTGGGTGTGGCGGGGCAGCAGGAAGGGACAGCACGGGGAGAACAACAGAAATTCAGCCAAAAGGATAAAAATAAGGGATAAAGAGAAGCTGGGATTTCCCTGGGCAGCAGAGCCAGGTGAGCACCAAGCGAGTGSTGACAGGTGACAGCTTCAAGCTGASACTCTTCCAGATGCTCAGCAGGTCCCGGCATGAGCCAGGGGCAGATTCCCCTGCCAGGACTGGCCCCAAGGTCACACTRGGGGCTGGTGGGGGAGTGTGGAGCCCAGGAGGTGAGAGGCTGAGGATCCCATCCCCTGCAGCCTGTCCTGTGCTGTGGGATGTGCTGGAAGGGCAGGGACAGGAGCAGCAGAGTCCCCAGGTTGAACAGGTACCCCTGTGATCAGGGTGGGACACTGACAAAGCTCTGGAGTGTTGGTGCAGCCCCCCAGGCTGAAAAGGTGTCCCTGTGACCGGGGTGGGACAGTGACAAAACTTTTGAGGGTTGGTGCAGCCCCCCAGGTTCAAAAGGTGCCCCTGTCAGCAGAGTGGGACAGTGACAGAGCTCTGGAGTGCTGGTGCAGCTCCCCCAGCCACTCCTCAGATCGCAGGAGGCTCTGGAGGGAGCTGTGAGGACCCAACCTCCCCACCCCACTCCCACGTACCCTCATCCCTCACGTGCCCTGAACTATTCCCTTCATTATCCCTGGCAGCCTTCCCCAGCGATCCCCAAAGCCAAGCACAGCCTGTCCCGGGCCCCCACAGCTCCAACCTGCACCTGAGCACCAAACACTGACAAACCAGACCCAAAACCAGGCCCAGTGCCTGGGGAGGGCATGCAGAGCAGAGCAAGGGGATGGGGGCTGTACAGTTGAGCATGGAGCTGCCACAAGCTRCAGGAATGGGATGTTTATCCCAGCAAGCCAAGCTCCAGAAGGATCTGGGACCAGAACAGAGCGAGGCGAGCAGCAGAGCTGGCCGGGGAGGGAGGGACAGCGCAGTCCCTGATGCAGGTGGCACATCAAGGACAGGATGCAGGCACAGCACGAGCGCAGAGCACCCCAGGGATCCGGCAGAACCCGAGCTGCGACGTGAAACAGGAGCGCCAAAGTCCACGGCATCCACCAGCCTGTCCCAAGGAGGGGGAACGAGCCATTCTGGCCAATAAGGGGACCAAGACCGCTCTCCTCCAGCCARACATCCCAGAGAAGGCAGGGAAGCAAATGCCACCACGGCCTCAACTCCCAGCTCAGCTTTTAAAGCTCTTCCAGGCCTGTCTGGGCTGCCCTGGGGCCCGCTGAGCTCGGACACAGCGCCCTGCCCGCAGCAGCCGGCTGTGGTGGGCAGTGCTGCCCAGCCCCATACAGTACCCACGATTGTAAGTGCTTTGCATACGTAATTCCCCATCATGCAGATCCATTTCAGCATTCCCTGGGCCCCACAGACGTGTCCTCCTGCAGCAGGGAGGTCCTTCATTCCATGTAGGGCTCGTAGTGTGCGTTGGACTCCRGCCCTCTCCTGCTCCAGCTGCAGGGCCCGGGGCTGTGGCAGCCTGGCAGCTGCTGCCCACGCTGGGGGTGGCACCGGGGGCTCAGCAAACACCAGCACCAGGGGAGCAACCGGTCACAAAAAGAACCATATTTACAGAGCTACAGTCAGCTTCAACGGGTTACGTGTGCAGAGTCACCGAAAGCGGCCGGGAACGACGGGCTGTGCATCCCRCAGATCCTGCCAGGAAAAGCACGGGTACCAACAGGGATTTCACAGCTTCGCTGGCATAGCTAAGGCGGGAGATTCAGGCTAACCAGATCCTCCCTGGCCAGGCAGCAACACTCCAGAGGTGGTTATGACAAGAGGGAATGGTGGYGAGGTTGGGCACAGCACGGAGCGAGGATCTCAGCCGGGGAGCCCCGTGGAGGATGAGGTCTCTCCTTCCTAAATGTCTCTGCATGCAAGAGCAGCACCCCTCGTACCAGACACCATCACAGCCTGCGAGRTCACTGAGGGAAGCCAGAGTGAAGGATGCACACGCTGGGTGGAGCCTCCTCTGCCTCCTCCCGTGTCCAGGCAGGGAACCCCTCGGTCACAGCACCGAGGGATCRGGAACCAAAGCTCTACAGTGATGCGTAGCGGGGCGACCTGCCAGCAAGAAGGGGATCTGACCTGCTTATCAGGGAAGGGGAGGGGGCTCTGCTTGCCCCCAGCAATTCAATCACAACTGGATCCCACCTCCTAGAGGCCGGAGCCCGCTGGGAATCAACAGCCCAGCSTTTCTGTCCCATCAGCCAACACGGGTTTCAGCTACTGACCAAGAGGGACATCAGGAACGGTCACAGACATCTCAGAGGCTCTGAAGGAGCAGGAGCACAGAGACTCAACTATACAGGGTGCAAGAGTCCAGAGCCAGAAAGCRGCGCCCTGGGGAGAAGCTGAAGGCAGCTGTTGTGTTGTGCATGGGCTGCTCATCTGGCTGGTGGCTGGGAAAGGACCGGGTGAGCCAGCGTGACATTCAGGGAGTCATTGTGCTGCACCAGGGACGTGTGCTTGTAGTGCAAGACCAGGTCCTTGAGGGAGGCGTAGAGGTTGTAGGGCTCGGCGAACCCATAGCCCGTCGCTGTCTTGTAGATCACGCAGTGCTTGGTGTCACCGTCCACCCTGCCAGGGAGACACGGGCCTGGGTCAGCGGTGGCACAGGGACAGAGGAGCACAAGCAGGGCCACCAAAGCAGCCCAGATACACCTGGCCCTGGCAGGAGAACCAGGGCAGATGGGAGCTGTCACCGCCAGCATCTGGCACAGGAAGGGTGGAGCAATGTGGGAACACAGCCCAGGCCAGCCCTATCGCATCACATTGCATCCTATGGATCCCATCCCATCCCATCCCATGGATCCCATCCCATCCTATCCCATGGATCCCATCCCACGGATCCCATCTCATCCCACAGATCACATCCCATGGATCCCATCCCATTCCATGGATCCCACCCCATCCCCACAGGGGTACTCACACCACGGAGCAGGCGTAGCACCCCTTCTGGCTGCTCTCCCGGATCAGGAAGGTGCCGTCCCGTTTCCCGCACAGCATCTCCTCTGCCTGCACACGGTTGATCTTCCCCACATACCACGTCCGTTCCTCGTGGTGGGGCAGCTCCTCCTCATCGTCCATCATGGAGTACTGACTGCAATCGAGGACAGRCAGGGTCAGATTCCCTCAATTTGGGGGAGTGGCCCCCACAAATTCCCCACACTGCCAGCTGCCATTGCCCATCTGGCAGGAAAGACACCCTCAACCCCCAGGGAGCTGGGATTTGCAGCACAGGCAGGACCAGCTGTGCTCCCACATCCCCCAAACCCCACAGCACACGAGCAGGACACTCACTCCTCTGTCTCGTTCTTGATACCCAGCCACTCGTTGATCTTCTTCTGCCGAGCACCCTTCTGCGTCAGCCACCTGGGGGAGGAGAGCAGAGCTGAGCGCGGCCATCACCAGAGGGCAGCAGCCGCCGCTGCCGGACCCGCCGAGCCCCGAGGCCGCGCAGAGGGAGCGGCTCCCGCCCCGAGCGGGCTACGAGCCGGTCCGACCAGCCCCGGAGCCCTGGAGGAGGCAGCTGCATGGCTCCCRGGCCGGGCTGCAGGGGCACTACGTACACCAGGTACTGGTCTCGCAGTTTGCGCAGCTGCATCAGGTCTGGCTTGAGGCTGTTCATGCGCTTGTCGATCTCCCGGTTCTCCGAGGCTTGTTTCTTCAGGTCCTGCTCCAGCTTCATCTTGCTGTCGTGGATCTCTGTGATGCGAGACTTGAGCTTCTCCGAGTTCATGAGGATCCTGGGAGATGGAGGGGAGGTTCAGGCTGTGAGCCAGCGTGGGGGAGGCRGAGGAGGCAGCCTGCCAGCTCCAGCCCACAGCACGCTGCTGGAGAGAYGAGGAGTCCGCGTGCCTCGGCTCTGCGCTGAGCCAGGAGGATCTTGCAGCCCCTGGARCCCTTCTCCAGGCAGGGCAGGCCACCACCACCCCCATGCTCACCGTTGCACCTCCTTCTCGTTGCCCTCCCTYCGGAAGCGCTCGATGTACTCCTTGCTGCACTTCTCCTGTGTCTGACACTGCTCCTCAAAGATCTTGATGGTCTCGTTGAAGGCCTCGATTGCTGTCCTCTTCATCTGCAGCTCCTGGGGAGGAGAGAAGAGAGCGCTGAGGAACATTGCTGCACATTTGCATTCCYTCTTTCCCCTTCCCCAAAGCAGCTCAGTCCTTGCTGCAGGCAAAACATCCCCCTTTATCAAAGCCCAACCTCTGGGAAGTGCCCTCCAGTCCATGAGCTGACAAACGGGGCAGCAGGGCCCAATCTCTGTTCTTCCCTGGGCACAGCAGGGTGGCTGCCAGTGCTCAGGGGGTGACAGAGCAGCCCACAGGGTGCCCAGGTAGCCCCCAGGGAAAGCCATGCCCACRTACCTGGGATGTGCGTGTGTACTCCTCGTACAGCAGGTCGTACTCCCAGCTCTTGTCCTGGTACTGCTGGTGATAAACCTTCAGCTGCTCCCCAACAGCTTCCACACTGTCCTCCTTCACCACCTGGTCCTGCCACGGGCACAGCCTCGGTCAGGACCTGCTCCAGCTGGTCCCACAAAACCCCACCGGCCCTGCACACGTCCATGACCCCACAACAGAACATTCCAGCACACGGGGAAAGGGATGGGACATTGTGATCTACAAGAAGCAGGGATGGATGAGCAAATGCCCCCRGTTCAGGCTGTGCTTGCCAGCCCTGTTCCTGCAGCACAGGCCTCACCTGCTGGTACTTGGAGATGGGGTAAAGCAGCCTGGTGTCCAGCTTGGCRTTGTACTGGGCGAGTGACTCGTGCCGGTAGTGGGTGATGAGCTCCACCACTGAGCCRAAAGTCAGGGGCTCCGAGAAGCCATACTTGCCTTCCCGGTGGAAGATCTTGATCAGCTTGTTATTGCCTCCCTTCCTGCAGCAGAGGGAGAGGAGAGGGCGCTTACCACCACCCCAAAATCTGCACCAGCCAGAGCTCTCGGCATCCCAGCACAGGGACGTGTCTGAAGGGCAGCACCCAGAGGGTCCCAGGGGATCCCAGAGCCCYACCTGAGCGTGAGTGTGTATTCCCCCTGGATCTTGCTGGAGGCATCACGCACCAGGAAGGTCCCATCTGGAGTGTCCCGGAGCTTCTCGTTCACCTCCTCCCTGCAAGAACGGGATTGTCACGGATTGTGAGGTGGCCTCAAGGTTTCCCTGATGGACAGGGCACCCCAGGTTTGAGCTGACAGTCACTCCCTTACCGAGAAATGTCCCCCCAGTACCACTCGGCGTCCTGCAAGGGCGCGTTGTTGCCGTTGGCCAGGCTGGCTGCGCTGGGCTTTGGCTTCGGCGGTTTGGGAGGCAGGGCTGTGAGAGGAGGAGGGTTGAGACAGCGTGAGCCCAAATCCCAGCTACCCACTGGCAATGCCTTGTAGTGCTGAGTCCTCTCCCTGCAGTGACTGGCCCTGGAAGGCCCCTTGGCCACCACATTGCCCAGAGCTGCTCCAGCCACATCTCCAGCAGCTCAACACCTTGAGCCAGCCTGCAGGCACAGCTGGGCTACCAAATGCCCTCGGCAACCCAATTGTGGGGGCAGAGACTCCACACCCACAAATGCCAGCACCGCAGGCCCCAAGGAAGGGGTATCTCAGTACCTGGAGGCAACTGCTCTGGCTCCAGCTCCTTCGTCTGCAGAAGTGTCTCCAAAAACAGCACGGAGAAGTCAGGGCTCAGCTCTGGGCTGCAGGGAGAGGGGAGGCAAGTTAAAAACAGCAGAAGTGGGGGAGAACACGGCCCTGTTCCTGTGTCCCTTGGGGTCAGCTGGTTCACCCCAGCTGCCAGAGCAGCAAGGGCTCTGCCCCTGCTCTATGTGTTGCCAGCAGTTAAATCCCATGTGCAGCCCAGCAGCCCTGCTCTTCCAGGCTGGACTCCTTGTCCTGTGCTGGGAACAGCGCCGGAACCGAAAGCCTCACGTACCTGGCGCCAGGCAGCCGGAGGAGAAGGGGGCCGAAGATCTCTCCCAGGGCCCGAGGGTGGAGGCTGTTGCTCTCGGCCTGCTGCGATACCTTCCCCAGATGCCGGAGCAGGAACTGCAGGGTGAGCGTGTTCTGGAGCGGGACCGCAGGCGACTCCAGGGCCAGCAGCAGCTGCTTCCGGCAATTCTCTGGCTGGGGGATCTCTGGGGAGAGAACAAGACACGAGGGAAGAGTTGGGACAGCCGGCACCACTGTCCACGCTCCGGCTGCGTCACAGCACGGGAGCGCTGTCAGCAGCGGGGGCTCTGTGCCAGGCCCCACAGGGRCAGGGCTAATTTTAGTGCCCCAAACATGTTCATCCTGCCCAGCCACCCATTCCCAAAGCAGCCAGGGAGGGCCTTACCCTGCAGGATGCGAAGGATGTCTCCGTGCACCGACACCGGCACCACGGGGGAGGGCAGGTCCTGCAGGTAACCTCGCAGCGCCTCGCCCAGGGAGTGCACGTCCAGGGGCTCCAGGTCACCCAGAGTCCAATCTGCCAGGGCACACATTTCCCATGAGAAGTGGGCACGGCACTGGGCACCCAACCAGCAGCTCTGGTGCTGCCAAYACCCATCCCAGAAACCATCACACACCAGCCAGCTATCACGGGACACGGCACCACGAGGGAGCTCAGGCAGCCCGCGGGCAGCCCATGTGACAGAGGACGCCTGGAAATGCACCCCAGAAATGAGCTGGGTCTGGAAACCCCAGCAGGTCTCCTTGGGAGAGGGCAGAGGTCATTTGGGATGCCCACACCCTTTGCCCTGAGCCCCAACACAGGAATTGTGGGCACACACAGCTCGGGTGAGAGTTTTGCTCCCCGTTGCCGGCAGAGCCGAGTGCAGACCGAGCAGCCACACGCTAAACAGGGAAAACACCTCCCTCGAACGCAGGATTTTGAGAAGCACATAAAGCCTGCCCCGAGAGCACAGCCCGGGCTGACAGCACAGTTCCTGGGGTTTGCAGGAATGTCTGTGCAAGGGGACTCGCCAGTGTGGTGCCGGATGAGGCCCCAGCCCAGCCGAGAGGCAGACGGCTCCYGAGGCTCCCCGGCAGAGACATCAGCTGCCGGCAGCGCGGAGCCACGGCTGCAGCCACCAAGCTGAGCTGAGACATCCTCCCTCCCCTGCTCATTAGTGGTGTGACAGAGCCAGAGAAGCCTCCTAGAACCCAYCAGCATCCCAAAGACAGCAGGGGACAGGCACAGGGCTTCCCTTGTTTGCCTGCCCCACACCCCTTTGTTGCCCCCCGTGGATGGTGCCAAGAATCCCCCATCCTATCCCATCCCATCCCTTCCACGCAGGACAGGGACGCGTTGTGACGGGACAGCCCAGCCCCAGAGGCAGCGTGCCGGGAGTCAGGAACTGCYGGGGACAGGCGAGCCCGGCCTGGATTGCATTACTGCTGGCGCTGTCACATCCACTAATCTCCTCCATCTGAGCCGATTCGCCTCCACCGCGCAGAGCTGGTTCTTACCGGTTCTCAGCGCCTGCCTCAGTTCGGAGCCAGATGTCCTGTACAACATCTCGCTGTCCAGCCCTGCGGAAGGGGGGCACTGCTGTCAGCTCTGGCACAGGCACTGTTTCGGTGCCAGCAGCCCGGTGGCTGTGGCACGGCCAACCAGGCCTGGCTGCTGTCCAAGCCAACCCCCCGCAGAGGCTGCCGCAGCCCCCTTGGCCCCCAGCACACCCGGTTCAGTGGCCCCATTGCTCTGCTACGGCACAGATCCAGGCTGGAAGCGCTTCCCAAACCCCAGCACCCACCCACTGTGTGTAGGTGCTCAATCCCATCACCCTCCCGGGCCTCAGGGAGGAACGTGAGAGCAGCTATGTCCCGTGTGTCCCACAGAGCTCAGCTCTCATTGTGGGGTTTTGGGGTGTATCAGCCCCCYCAGTGCTCAGCATCCCCCCTTACCTTTCTTCTCGATAGCTTCCACCAGCTTCACCAGGAGCGGCGGAGCAATCTCGGGAGGGCTGAACTGCTCCTGCAAGTCCGGGAGAGGAGACCCTGGGGGAGAGGGAGGGAGAGAGTGGCTCAGCACCAGCTCAGCCCTCAGCAGCAGAGCTGGGCCAGGCACAGCCCAGGCAGCTCCCAAGGGCAGCAAGGAAGCACATGGCCCCTGCTGCGAGGCCGTGGCCCAGGCAAACASAGCAAGGAGGCTGCGAGCAACCTGCCCAGATGCCAGCACAGCACTTGTTGAGCTCCAGCCCGGACTGGGTGTGCACTGGGAGATCTGTGCTGCTCCCTGCAGAGGCTCGGAGACAGAGCCCATCCCCCTGKGGACCCGCACCCCCCAGGCAGGCAGCACAGGGGTTACCAGGGCTCCTGGAGCTCAGCGCTGGGTCCCTGCCCAGCACAGGGGCTGCGCAGRGCTGGCAGAGGAGCGGGGCCAGGGACCTCGCTCTGCTCGTCGTGGTGAGCTGTGATTAATCCAGCGATTCAGACAGAACGCCATGTCAGCAAATTCCTGCCCTTGATTGCTCGTTTAACATGGAAACCGGCCCTGTGCCTCCCCCTCCCCGTGAGCCCACGGCCTCTGTGTGAGCTGCTACAGGGCACAGGCAGCCCGTGGCACGGGACCAGGGCCCCCCGATCCCGGGGGATCTACAGCCCCGTCTCGGGTGGTATTTCACCGCCACCTCCAGAAAATCTCGAGGTTCTGGCTCTGGGCAGAAGCATGCTGGGGCAGGAGCACRCAGGTCTGGCTGAGGAGCTGCCAGAGGGAGGTTTGGAGGAGGATGAGCAGTGCCAGGCTCCATCCTGCTTCCCAAGCAGCACCAGCCGGTGYAGGAGGCTCCTCCAGGCCGGTCCACAGCACCCAGCAGAGCCCAGAGAGCCCGCGGTGGGTGAGGACACCCAGCACTCTCTGCTCGGCAGAGGCAGAGCCAAAAGGCTGCTCCCCATTGCGAAAGAGCTCCGTTGTCATGGATCTGACCCGAACTCGCCTGGTGTGGTCTCACCACGAAGCGCAGCAAGCTGGAACTGCGCACCCAGCTCGGCCTGCTGCACCCACGGCCCCGTGGGGAGACCCAACAGCCATGGGAAGGGAAAAACACGGGCCAGGCACCCAGAAGCTCTGTGCTGCTGGGGAAGGGGGATGCAATCCCACACCAGAACAAGCCCCTGGGCACGGTCAGGGGCCCAGTGTGGAGCGGGTCGAGGTGGGGAAGCTGCAGGCAATCTTCCAGGCTGGCAGCTCCCAGCCTGACCCTTGGGAAGGGCTGAAGGGAGAGTAAATACTGGCGCTGCCCACGTGGCCCGGCCGGGAATGTGCTGCTTCAGCAGGCAGCAGCTTGTCTTTTTTTGTCAAGCACAGAGCCGGAGCCAGCAGCGGCTCCTGAGCCTGCCGGGCCTCCGGGCTGGGCCGCCGCGAACAAGGCTGCTCACAGCACGGCCCGGGCAGCTGCGGAAATATTCCCGAGCCGCATTTTCCGCTCGTGTTCTCGGCGGAAGGCAAACACCAGCAGCTCGTAAATCCACTGGCAGAACGCGCCGGCTCTCGCCGCTCCGCGGGGCCGGCCCTGCTGCGGGCTGTGGGACAGGTGTGGCGCTGGCCCTGCTCCACCAGTGACACTGAGGGGCCAAAGAGTCCCTGCCAGCCAGGGCAGGACCCGGGAAGCAGGGAAGGAACCTCAAGGGGCAGCCAGGAGACAGCTCTGCACCTCCTGAAGTGCAGATCATGAAGAAATAAGACGGSTTTGGCTCAAATACGGTTTTTCCATTGCAAAAATGTGTCTCCCCAGCAGAATACAGAATTAAAGAATCACAGAATGTCCTGGGCTGGAAGGGATCTTCCGAGTCCAGCTCTTAAGTGAATGGCCCACATGGGGATCAAATCTGCAGGCTGAGTGTAAAATGRCTCTGGGTGTTTGAACTGCCTGCCCTGCCTGTGCCCACAGTGGAGGCTGGGGATGCACCCAGAGGGRACAGGGACAGGGCTGGCACTGCYTTCACGTACCCTGRCACCCCMCACCCTCTCTCCTCAGGCAGGATGCAGAGAGGTTGGCTTTTGGTTTCCTTCCCAAATTTGCCTTTTCTGTGTTTCAGGAACTTTGGCACRTATCTTGTTCCACCTCCCAGAGACCCCACCGGTGCCTTTGCCCACCCAGACCCACCTTGAGAAGAGGGGAGAGGCACCCAAGGCAGAAATGCAGCACCCAAGGGAGCGCCGGGCTGGAAGCAGGCAAAGCTGGCACATCCAGCACAGAGCCCAGCACAGAGCGTATCCCCGGCTCCCAGGAGGAGCTGCTTTCTTGGAAAGGCAGGTTGTGAGCGGGATGACTCAGGTCAGGCTCTGGCTGCCAACCCAAACTGCACGCAGGGCCCGGCCACATTCCCACCCTGCGGAGATGTTTCCTGGGGCCGCCCCTCCGGAGGCAGCTGCAGGGAGCTGCACCAGCCCCACAGCCCCGGTTTCGTAAGACCCCAGAGGTGTTTTCACGCAGCCAGAAGCGTCTGCTGGGGCAGCCGTGGCTCCCAGGCACAGAGGGATGGGGAGGGTGAGGCACTGCCAGCTGGGAGCGTTCCCTGGCACCCTCCAGCTCCTGCTGCTGACCCCACTCCTCCCACAAGCACCAGCACGAGGTCTTCTGCAAGGCACGGGAAGGCAAAGYGTGGCTGTCGCCCCTCACAGAATCCCAGAGTGGTTTGGATCAAAAAGGACKTTAAAAGATCACCCAGTTCCAACCCCCCTGCCTTGGGCTGGGACACCTTCCATKAGATCAGGTTGCTCCAAGCCCCATCCAGCCTRACTTGGAAMACTTCCAGGATGGGGCAGCCACAGCTGCTCTGGGAAACCTGTGCCAGGGCCTCACCACCCTCACAGTCAGGAATTTCTTCCTAACATCTARTCTAAATCTCTCCCTCTTTTRATTTAAAACTTCCCCCTTGTCCTATCGCTATCTGCCTGTATAAGAAGCCTCTCCCCTCTTTTGTATAAGCTCCTTTTAAATATTGGAAGGCCACAACAGAGCCTTCTCTTCTCCAGGTGAACACCCCCAGCTCTCCCAGCCTGGCTCCAGAGCAGAGGGGCTCCAGCCCTCRGAGCATTTCCCCTGGACTCACTCCACCAGCTCCACATCTTTTSTRTGCTGAGGACTCCAGATTCAGACTCAGCACTGCAGGTGGGGGTCTCAAGAAGGAAGAATAGATGGGGGGAACCCAGTGGCTGCAGAGCCCCTGCCACAGAGTTTACATGCCTGGGAGCCAAAAAGCCAGGCTGAGAGCAGGCAGCTGCCACAGCTCCACAGGCAGGGCAGAGGCACGCTGGCTCCCCTGGAGCGGGTCCGTGCCAAGGCCAGGCTGGCTGGGAGGCAGCCGCAGGTGCAGCACAGCYCATGCCCAGCCCCGGGGTGGCTGCCCGGCCCCAGCGAGGGCTCGGCGACCCGCGGGGAGGGCAGGCTGCCAGGCAGACAAGCAATTAGCTCCAGTTCTCAGAAGCACTCTTTTAGACCCTGACTTTTCTCCTCTTGCCCAGAGACAAGTAATTGTGTCTCTCAGCGGGGCTGARCAGCTCTTGGCAGGGAGCACTGCCCCAGGCATTGCAGAGGCGGGGAGGTGGTGGTTGGGAGAGGTCAGGACTTATCCTGAAGGGAGGGAGCCTGGCAAAACTCAGCCTAGCAGGGAGAGGGGCCATGGGGATCCTGGCCAGCTGCAGGGCAGAGAGAGAGAAGGATTTTGGAGAGGTAAGAGTGGGACAAAGCCTGCCCCACTGAGCACATTGACCAGCTGGAGGAACAAAGTGCTTTTCTCTGGGCTGGACTGAGTGTGAGCCCACAGCCCCCAGATGACTCGACTGCAGTGCTGTGAAGCTACAGGCTTCACCGCTGTTCCACAAAGCCACTCACACACTCTCATCTGTCACACACTGGAGGTGTCCTGGAGCAACAGGGAACTCAGCAGGACTTACCTTGCTCCAGATTCTCGGGCAGCCGGCAGCCGCTGGCCCCCGGTGTGGCGGGCAGGGGTCTCTGCACTCGGGGCCGGTGCGAAGGGACGGCGATTTTCACCGGCCCCACGTACTCCACGTAGGTGCCTGGAAAGTCTCCCTTCTGCTTGGTGCGCTCGTTGACGCCCAGGATCCACCCGATCTGGTTGGGGGTCTGCTCATCTCCGTCTTTGAAGCCCAAGGCTTGCAGGGCCCCCTTGCTGACCACCAGGGTGTCCCCGGGCAGCAGGTCAATGTCCTCCTCGCGCTCCTTGCGGTACGGGTAGAGMGCCCGGTACTGGAAGCCGTCGGTGCTGCCCATCCTCTCTGCTGGGGGAGAAGGGCTCTGAAGGGTGAGGAAGCACGGTCCAGGTGGGAGAGGAGGGCYCTCAGAGGCAGCTCTCCCCCATCAGCACTCTGAACTGTTTATGTGTGAGCTGGCACCGCAGGAGCCTGGTCTGGGTGCCCCGGGCAAGCTTAGGTGCAGCCCCTTTTCCTCAGCTTGAAACCACGATTCAACCAAATTATGGAGCAAAGGGAGAAGGAGACAAACATAATCCAGCACTGGTGAGCGGGCATGCAGCAAAGAAACCCGAGATCAGGGCCTGTTTCACCAAAAAAGCCAGTCTCTTGGAGTCTGGGGAGGAAAAGTACAGTAGGCTTCCAGCCTGGACTGGTGTGGTACACTGCCTTCCCCTTCCCAATGCCTGCAAAGAGAAGAAGACTTGTCACTGCACAGCCAGGCACCCCACACCCTCCAGACACGCCAACATTCAAACCAGGAGTTCACCTGAGAGAGGCAGGACTCGTTTCTCTCCTGCCTAGCAGCTGCTGCTGAGCCCTGGATCCAACCAGGCCATGCTAATCCCGATTTACACTCCCAAAAGCAAGTTTGGAGCCAGTGGCTGTGGGCAGGAACGCTGCCTCCTCTCTGCTACAGCCAGGCACCAGCTCTGCATCTTAAAGAGGTTCACCCCTGCTCCTTCAGCGTACCCTCCTCACAGCACTTATGCAAACAAGGAGACAACAAGTGGGACAAAACAGCCTTTATGCAGGATAACTTTTGCATACAGAAAAGGGYGACCCCACACCCACCAGCTGCAGGCCCTGAATGGGAGCAGAGCAAACAGATTTAACCTTCCCTTGTTAAATCGATTAAATTTCACAGTTCACCTTTACATCTCGCCTTGCAATCCCCCACAAAGGCATCTTCTGAAGGGAGCTGCCCACAAATGTAGGTTAACCAAGCTTTCAGCAAAAGGCTTTCGAGATGTGCTGCCATTCCCACAGAGCAGCACTTCAAAGCTTTGCTCTGAGCAAAAAGTCAATTTTTGAACTTTTCAAAAGCAGCAACAGCATCAAGTGCAGGCATGGGTTCTTTTCGCAGAGATGGAGGCAAGAAGAGTTAAAATAATCTTTAGAAGCCTTCAAGTCTACTTAGAGCTCCTAACTGCCTTTCAGCTATTCAGAGAGAAATTGAATATGCTGCCTGCCCTGCCCAGAAATCCACCAAAAAGAATAAACCTGGGTTAGAACATGTTGTTGAAGAGACGTACGAGCTGGGACATTCCCACCAGCCAGGCACGTCCTCTTTTCCCATCCCCTCCTGGCTGCACAGGCCAGTTTTCCACCTCCCTCAGGCAAATCCCAGAGTTCTGGTTCCCGCAGAAGTGGCATGTGGCCGAGGACCGGACCTACAAGGCACCGGGGCAGCCAGAAACCAGCCTTCCCAGGGACACCCTGGGCCTGCTGAAACCCTGCAGGTCCTGTTAAAGGYTTGAGCTGTTTTGGCCCAGAAACCACCAAACCCAGCTCAAAGTCTCGAGTCTCATCTGAAAACTATTAACGAGCAGGAAGGTGCTTCTCAGGGCTGTGGGAGCATGGGCAGAGGGAGGCAAGGAGGCAAAGRGAGCCAGGACAACCTTCCCAGAGGRATCAGYGAACAGTTGAGCRTGGCACAAAGCCAGAGGTGCTCTGACCGCTGGTTTGGACTCTGTGACAGGCACTAACGGCGGAGATCTGCAGGATTTCAAAATAACCCTTCTGGGCCAGCAACACATTACACTTCGTATCAGCCACAAATCCCCTTTCCTCCTGCACGTGGTGTCACCCCTGCACGTGTCCCCACACCTGCACGTGCCGCCACAGCTGCACGTGCTGTCACAAAGTCTGAGATCGGGGAGAGACCCCAAGAGGAGCCAGCCCCACCTCTGCTCCACAGCCAGGCTCTCCAGCCTGGCACCAGGGCTCCTTCCCTCGACAAGGACAAAAGGCACAAAGAGGCCATGGCACAGGAAACCTGTGCAGCAGCCAGAGCCCGCACCGCCTGCCTGAGCTCGGGCAGGCGTCCCAGCAGGGCTGTCTTTGCCATGAATGAACAGGCACTGCCCGCGGGGAGGTGAGGCACTTGCGGCCAGAGGCGGGTGGGGAACAGGATTGAGCTTGATCCAGCTTGCTGGAGAGCTTCTCCAGAACTCCAGGAGCAACACCAGACTGCAGAATTCATGGAGAGACCCTACAGAGGTTTCTGATGTTCRTGGGGGGAGCAGCACATCCCAGCACGGCCGCTGTGAAAGCTCCCACCATGCTGGGATGGCGGCTGCAAGGAACTYGCAGCAGTGCCCGCATTTCCCCAATCCAACCAGCCCCAGCCAGGAAAATATTACTTCATAATCCAGAGCATAAAGAGAGATTTATCACCAGGCTTACTGGCTGCCCCTCTGAGTGCTGCCTGTCAGGGTCCCCCAGAGCGGAGTCGCAGTGCCGGGGGCACTGTCTGACTGCCAAGGGCCTGAGTGGCCACTGCCCACTGGGCACGGTGCCAACGGCTCCCCCTCTTCCCGGACAGGACGGACCCCAGAGTGGCTCCTCCCGGACAGGACAGACCCCAGAGTGGCTCCTCCCAGACAGGACAGACCCCAAAGTGGCTCCTCCCAGACAGGACAGACTCCAGAGTGGCTCCTCTGGACAGGACAGACCCCAAAGTGGCTCCTCTCAGACATGACAGATCCCAGAGTGGCTCCTCCCGGACAGGACAGACCCCAGAGCAGCTCCTCTCAGACAGAACAGACCCCAGAGTGGCTCCTCTCGGACAGGACAGACCCCAGAGTGGCTCCTCTCGGACAGGACAGACCCCACAGTGGCTCCTCTGGACAGGACAGACCCCAAAGTGGCTCCTCTGGACAGGACAGACCCCAGAGTGGCTCCTGCTGGACAGGACAGACCCCACAGTGGCTCCTCTGGACAGGACAGACCCCAGAGTGGCTCCTCCTGTAAAGGACAGACCCCAGAGTGCACCCAAAGGCAGAATCCAAACTTAATGGGGTCGATGCTCCCCCACAGGCACCCCCCAGCTTCCACCCGCAGATCCCAGCCCCGACTCCAGGCGCCTCCGACAAGCTGGTGCAGCCGAAGAGGCTGGAAGGACAAAACGCTCAGGCCTGGCAAACTTGTTCAGTAGCTTTTAAAAGCAGATCTGTGCGGAGGGGTGGGAAGAAGAGAGTGACTCGGGAGCACCGAGTGTCTCCAAAGAGCAGGTCCCGCAGCTTCTCCCAACCGACTCCTTCCACAGCCTTCYTCCCTGGGGTGGGAAGGCAGGCACAGCTCTGTGCCACCGAGCTCTCCACGTCCCAGTGGGTCACTAAGCACGTGAAAAAATCCAGACAACTCAGGTTATTCCTGCAGAAGCCTCACCTGCTTTCCCCACGCTCAGCCCCTGKGGGCACTGGGTGCTGGTGAGCATGGGTGAGGAGTCCTGCAGCAGAAACAAATCCTCATGGTTAATGCCGGCACCATCCTCTCCAGGGGAAACAGTCGTCCTCTGTCCTGCCAGAGGCTTCCCTGGAAGCCCTGCACCCTCGGAGAGCAGCTGACCCAGTCTCTGGGGATTGGGAATGCACACTTCCCAAAGCCCTGAACAGCTCTGCAGAGGGAAGGCAGAGCTGAGAGGCCGGGACACGCACGAGCCTGTCGGCTGGAAGCACACCTCGGAGCAGGAGAGAGGCAGCACCTTGCCAAAAGATTTGGGCTGGGCCCAACTCCAGGTTTGCTCGGCTCTCAGAGAGGAACCTCGTGTGTCTGTGCTGGCGAGCACTTGCTTAGGCTGCTCTGAAAATCCCATGCATCAGACAGCTAAATACCTTTGGTAAATCTATCTCAGCGCCCAGAAACAATCCCTCGATTCATTAACTGCTGTCAATACTTCCTTTGTTTAATACATCGGTTTGAAACAAAAAACACATTACAAGTCTTTTTGTCTGTGCCCAGCACATAAATAAAAGCATCTTAACATTTTAAATGTGGTTCCTGTGCTTTTTAACCCAGTTCCAAACGCAGTTCAAAGTGCAGCTTGACTTGAAGCAAGACCGAGAGTTACTTTCCCTCCAGTGAGGGGAAAGAATGCATAAAAATATTTAAAAGAAGAATATGCTCGCAAAAGTATACACAACCTTTCCAAATTGCATCAGATCCTCATCGAGGAAAACAGACGCCATATCGAGTTTTGAAACGCAAGTTACAGACAATAAGAACAAACTTTTCCTTTAATTAAAAGAGAAAATAGAACAATGCCATGATGGATGGGAATGAAAACGGACAGGGAATTGCCTGCCATCGTGACATCTGCTGCTGCATCACGTACTCCTGACCCAGGCAGCCAGGGCAGCTCTGATGGCCTCAGCTCCTGAAGCTGGCAGTGCCAAGCACGTCACAGGTCACACTGTGCCCCCCAGCACCCACAGCACCGAGTGGCAGAATGAGAGAGGGCAAGAGCTTGGCAACCCCTGATTTATAAYCAGCACAAACAGCACAGCAAATCCCCGAGCTCCCAGGCAGCTTCCCGGGCCGGCTCCCTCCCCAGCCAGAACAATGACTGGAAAAACGACTCGCAAGGCTGGAGCCATGAGCAAGGCTGTGGAGGAGGCAGCAGTGCCACGAGGAGCTGTGGGGGAAGGAGCCCGGAGAGCCCGCAGGGAGCTGGTGCGGGCGGGAAGCGGAGCTGGACACGCTCCAGCAGCTGCCCCTGGGGAAGCGGCCAGCGGAGCAGGGAGAGCTGGAGCCCGGGCTGGCCACGGCGCTGCCAAGCCAGCTGGTATTTCCTTCCAAACAGGGAAAAGCTGCAGGGGAGGAGGGGAGCTGTGCCTGAGCTCTGCCCGAGCCAGGCATGGGACAGCCGAGACCATTTTCACCTCTTCTCTTCCCCAGAAATGCTTTCCAGCCCCCCAGGAGCAACAGATCCCCAGGAGCAGCAGCTCCTGCCCACAGCCACGAGCCACCCTTCTCCAGGGACACAGAGCATTTACTGCTCATGCTCGAGTTTCATGAAATATTTTGCTTCATCAAAGCCCGAGGAAGTGAAGGAATATCTGAAGTATTTCACTGAAAGGTCAATGTCACGGTTAGCAGGGACATGCATAAGTCCCTGCAGGGACAATTCCTCACTTTTGGGAGACCACTGGAGGTCCCAGTGACCTCCTGCTCAGAGCTGGACAGCACAAGAGCACCTTAGGCCACCTGCACACCTATTCCAAGACTTTTCATACTGTCCAAAGGCTTCTCCCGACACTGAACTTACTCCAGCTGAAGCTTGTTCTCTCTTAATCACCTCAAAAAATTCCTCCTCCTACCTAGAAGAGCTTTATACTCGGCCAGGGACTTTTATTTGCTGGCAGCGAGCAGAGAAGRACCCAGCACCCAACACCAGCCCCATCACCTCCCTCCAGGCTGCTCTTACACCATCCCCCACACAGCAAGAACACACTAATTCCATTTTAGGAGCATTCATGGAGCTGGCTTTAGGAATATAGAAACCCAGGAGCTGGATTTTGGCAAAAAAATTACAGTTCTAAAAAAAACCTGAGTACATGAAAAAAAAAATCCAACTGCTCTTGCAACTTATCTGCTTAAAATCACATTCCCCAGGGTATTTGGAATTTATATGATTTATTAGCAGCTCTGCACAGCTCAGCAATCACATGAAGTAACCGATGAGGTAAAAAGCACCCAAGTTAATAGACCAGCACGATTTGGATATTGGTGAGAAAGCCAAGACCTTCCAACTTGAGAAATCCACCATCTCTTCCTCTGTCTGCTTTTTATCTTCCATTACCCRGCTACTTCAGCTCCGAGCTGCGGCTCCAGAGATTCCCAGAGGAATTAAAAGAGCCCTCGATATTATAAATACTCTTTTTCATTGTAAACACACCCCGGCACTCGGAGCTCTGACACGGCTCCAAACTGGCTCCGCAAACCACTCTGCTCCTCGCCACATTCCAGCTGAGCCGCGCTTTCCCTTCCAACCCAGCGCTTTTGTCCAAGCGAGACCCAACTGCGGGCAGAAAGGATTTTTCCGTGTGCTTAAAACCTCGTTCCAGCCAGTTGGGAACGGGGGGTTTTGGGGCAGGGATCAGCTCGAGGAGAAACAAGTCCGTGCCACGAACCGCGYGGGCAGATGGAAGCACGAGCTGCCCACGTCAAAAGAGAGTCACCAAAGAAACCAAACCATGGYTTTGGACTTTCCCACACCGTGGAAGGCTAGAGCAGAGGCCAATTCAGCCTCGGGGACGCACCAGCCCTTYGCATGTCAGGGAAGGGTGGGGGAATGGCCAGGAAAGCAGTGATTTAGGCTATATTTACTCAGCTGTCTCCCATTCTCTGCTCTCACAGAGAAAGTCACAGGGCCAGTTCCCCAGTGGCTCCAAGAGCTGCTTGGGAAATCAAAGCCGTGCATTAATGGGAGGAGAGGCAGCCATGGCTCCATTGAAAGGCAACGCTGGGCCCGCTCCAGCTCCTCACGGCTCTCATTTCTCGAYAGGCTTGTCCCCTGGCTTTAGCTCCCATCGATCACAGACCCCCAATTTGGGAGGTACATGACCATGGGAATCTTCCTCCTCAAGGGGCTGAGAAACATCCACACAGGAGGAGAAGAAATGCCGTGACCAACCTCCCTGGGAAGCGGTGGGCTGGCTCATCTCAGAGCCAGGGGTTGGGGACAACTGTCTTGAGACAGCAAAGCCACCCTCGGGCTGCACTGGGCACATCCCTGGGGCACCAACTCCAGCCTGGGAACTGCCAAACTGCCCCCGGGCAGGGGGAACAGAACTGGGACCCTCAGAGGCCACTCTTTACTGGCTCCACAGCCCCCAAGGGTCCCCAAGACCCTCGGCAATGGGGACTGTACCGTGCTGAGAATCCCTGCACTGTCACCACAGTGGGGACAGTGGCACAAAGGAATCTATGCTGGCACTGTTGGGATGCAGACGGAGGGATCGAGGGGGCACAACCCCTGAACAGGGACAGGACAGCTCGGGGGGTCCTGGAGGGAGCAGGAGGACACTGGAAAAGGTCAGGGACAGCTCGGAAGGGGAACGGGGGGCACAGCCCAGGTACAGGGAGTGGAACAGGGACAGCTGGAGGTGGGGGGGATAGGAGCGCACAGGGAGGGGACAGGGACAGCCCGGGAGGGGATTGGGGCACACAGCCCCGGTACCGTGGGGTGACAGGGACAGCCCGGGAGGGGATCGGGGCACACAGCCCTGGCACCACGGCGAAGCCACAGGGCAGCGGCACTGCCCTGCCAGCGGGACACCCTGCACTGGCACTTCCCGAAGGGTCCGGGCACATCCTCGAGGCTGCCTCACGA